CAATTCATTGGGCTCAGCACCAACATAGAAAAGACAAGTCCTCTACCCTCATGCCTCCCATCAAGTCAGTTCTGCTAAGGTTTTCTTTGCCTGTCTATTTGCCTCCAAAGGGGGAAAAAACACTGCAGTCTGTTGCAAGACCAGCAAAATTGCCACTTCAATCCAGCATGGTGACTTAAGCACCTAGAAGCAGGGGAACTTTTTTCCTCTGCAAAAGTACATCCAAGTGGCACTTCATCAGAAGTTCAATCAAAGCAATGCACCTCTTGGAGGCACCTGAGAGGCCTATTAAATTTGATAAGGGAGACTGATGCTTTGATTTGCATTTCATCAGTTTCATCTGTCTACCTGCCTGCCTGCCTGCCTACATGCCCCCGCTCTCTCTCTCACACACACACAATCATGTAGGTCAGGGAACCTGGGGGCCAAATTGAATGAGGTCCCAGATTGTTGGGGACAATATGCTGACTCTGTAAACCACTTAGAGAGGGCTGTGAAGTACTATAAAGCAATATATAAGTCTAAGTGTTATTGCTATTATATTACTTACTTCTAGACTATAACGATGGTCAGAATCTCTCTTGATAACAATCCAATGGCATCTTGCTCCTTCTACAGAAAGTTTCCCTAAAGATCTTTGATGATTTCTAGTATGCTTCCAGAAGGAACAGCATATGCCCAACTTAAAGCATGCTTGAACTTAATTCTTTTATAACAGAACCAGGTGTGGGATTCTACCAGTTCACACCTATTCATTAGAACCTGTTGTTAATATTCTAAGCAGTTTGGAGAACTGGTTGTTAGAAGAAATTACTGGCCTAATCCTGTAAGGAAGGCAGGAAGGAAACATTCTGGTGTTGCTTACAGAAACTGCCTCTCCATTAACCCTTACTACATTCTTGGCAGGACTAGACTTCCTGTCTCAGGAACTTCTCTGGAGTCTTTTTCCCATCCTTTGTTAGTACTTTGCTTGTGTGGAGTGACCATTCAAAGTTACAATGGCACTGAAAAAAGTGGCTTATGATCATTTTTCACACTTATGACTGTTGCAGCATCCCTACAGTCCTGAGAGGCCAGGTGAGGAGATGCGTGCCTCAATGTGAGTGATATTGAGTTAGCCACGCCCAGCCAATAACATGACCACCAAGCCACGCCCACCAACTTAGCCACACCCACAGAACTGGTTGTTAAAAAAATTGAATCCCACCCCTGAACAGAACGTTTAGTTGGACTAAAGCAAAGCTTATTTCAGTCTAGCTTGTATATTTCAGAAGTTTTCAAAGAACTGTAAACTTATTCCTAGCCTTTCTTGATCAGGTAACAGCAGGCCTAGGATTTGTATGCAAATAAACACAATGTGCAAGCCACCCAAATATAGCCTTGGATTTTATGACTATTCTAAGAGGTCAGAACATCCCTGGTGAATTGTTTGAACCAAACCCATCTAAGCTACTCTCCCACTTTTACTTCTCTTCTTTTTGATTGTCTTTGTTTCCAATCCATTCCAGCATTTGATGGATTGGATAAGAGATATGATGAGACCACATCTTTTTTTTTGCCATTCCATTCTCTAACAATTTAAGGCTCGACCCTGAGTTGTTAGGCAGAGTCAAGCACTTTCCTGAAGTTGATGAAGCAGGAAAGCATTTCCTTCCCTTCTTAAAAGTACATGTGAGGAATTTTATATTGTAAAACTGATTGGCACTATGAGACCAATTTAGTTTTCATGGATCATTTTTCTACTTTATTCAGTCATGGAGGACACTGCAAAACACTTTGCTGGTATTGCAGAAGATCTTCATGGGGGCAAGGACTGACCCATTCTTACTTTGCCATTAAAATATGAAAGGCTGTTTGTTGATGTGACCATGTATCTGTAAAATTCCCTGTTCCTATTGCAGATTACAGGTCAGAGGGACAAGAAGGGCAGGAAGTTGGGGTCTCTGGTTATCCAAAGTTTTTAAAAAGACAGTACTGTTCTTCTGTAATATAAGACAAGAGCCACAGATATGAGTCTTCATTAGGAAAGGCAGAAATATTGCTTGTTAGCAACCAATAAATGTTTTATAGAGTGATGCAAAAATAGAATAAAGCAGGGAGAATATATCTGGGGTGACAGAGAGAGAAGGCAATGGTCATTATTAGAAAAGGTGTTGGTTGCTCCACTACAATTCCTCAAGTTGCCTGTGGTGTCAATCCCAAGATTATGCAGTTTTTGACTAAATCATACAGTTAGGAATCAGCCATTCAAGAATTCATCCTAATAAGCACAACAAATTGACTGCTATTGTGGAATCTAATTGGAATTGATTAAAATGTGTCTGTCATGTCACACTCATTCTGTTTGTTTGCCCAAACAGCATTTGCGTCTCTAGGCGACTAACATAGATTTTTAAAAAGTCAAATAAATAGCAGAAAATAATGTAAACATGAATTCAAAGCCCATAACCCTAGGTCCAACAAACATATGTATATACACAAAAAACATGTTCATCAAATATCTAGCCTCGTGAACACACAGGTCTTTAACACTTCAAAAAAAGCCAGCAGGGTCAGGCCCATAAGAATCTCTTGAAGAATGTGTTCTAGAGAGAAGGTACCACCACAGAGTAGGCATAGCATTTTAGCACTTAGCAATAACACTTAGACTCACAGTGCTTTTACAGTCCTCTCTAAGCGGTTTGCAGAATCAGCATATTGACCCCAACAATCTGGCTCTTCATTTTACCAACCTAGAAGGATGGAGGGCTGAGTCAACCTTGAGCCAGTGGGACTTGAACTGCCAAACTGCTAGCAATCAGCAGTCAGCAGAAGTAGCCTGCCGTACTGTACTCTAACCACTGTGCCACCACGGGCTCTTATTTTTAAGTGTATATGTGCATCTGAATGTGTGTTCGACCATGTTCTGTTCGTAAATAGCCTAACATCACTTTCTAACCTACCTAGTTGTTTTCAAGGATTTCATTACTGAAGAGGTCAATGAATAGATGTCCTACAACTAATGGATCAAGACTTCAAGACCACCATGGCAAGCAGAGGTTTCTTCCAGGTCTCCATAATGAACAACTACACACAGGTTGTCCTTGATTTATGACCACAATTGGGACCAGAATTTCCATTGCTAAGTAAGGCTGTTGTTATGTGAGTTGCAACCAATTTTGCGACCTTTTTGTCATGGTTGTTAAGCAGGTCACTGCAGGTGTTAAATGAACAGGTAGTTATTAAGCCAACTGGCTTATGACTTTGCTTATCATAAGTCAGCTGGGAAGGTCACAAACAGGACACTGCAATAATCATAAATACATGCCAGTTGTTTAGCAACACAATTTTGATCACATGACTATGGGGACTGCAATGATTGTAAGTATGAGGATGGATTATAAGTCATTTTTTCACTGCTGTTGTAATTTTGATTGGTCACTTAACAAATGTTGTAAATGAAGGGTTACTTGTAATTCTTGACTAGCTATATTCATTTAATAGTACATATGCTTGGTACAACTTTCTTCAATGGAAGAATTCTGATCGGTGCATGAAGTAATTCTCTTTGATCATAATATTTTGGATTTACCATATTGGGAGATCTCTGTGGGGGTGGTTACCAATTATTAAGCTGTTCCGTGCAAGGAAACTAACAATGAAATGGCTTCCCGCTCAAGTTTCCCTATTAATTTGCTATCAGGTCTTCTGAAAATCTAGTTGACCTCTGGGATGGAGAGATAATTGACATGGTGGTTCCTGGGTCCTATCCTGTTAAGTAGAACCAAATGAGTTTCCTGGTTTTCAAATGCAATTTTGGTAGAAATCTCCAAATAAGTCTAGCAAACAATCTAACTCATAATGGCCATTGTTGTGAAAAAATTGATTTTACTATTACATCTGACAAGAACTGAGTCTCTTCAGAGATCAGAAGCTTACTGCATTTTATTCTATCTGATATCCCATTATAAACTATTTTATATCAGATTCCAGATAAAATCACCAAACTGCATTTAAAGTTACATCAACTGGGGCCTTCATTAACTATGCCTTCTTACAATAGGAAGATATTTCATGATGCCTAGAAGAAATAGTAACAATTCTGGGTTGCTGTTTTTTAATCATCCAGATTCCTACATCATTTGATAATTTCTAACCATACATGGCAAGATATCTTAATACACAATTTGGACAATTGCAAAGCATTTTACAAGGGTGAGCCCTGAAAAAGGTTCAGAAATTTCAGCTAAAAGGTAATGCTGCCAGGCAAGCAGAGGTTAATTATAAAAAGCACATTTTTAACTTCCTTGTTAAAAAATTACCCTGGCCATTAGTTTATTTCCTGACACTATTATTAAATGGTTCCAAAAATGTAAGATTGACCTTAAGAGTCATATAGTCCTTGATGTTTTCCTTCAAGAAAGCAAATGTATTACAGGTCAAGATAAGAGATCCTCCTCAGAGCTGTCAATTTATGCCTTAACCTTTTTTACTTCTTTCTTCCTTCTCTTAGCCAGTTCTTCATTTACTGCTGAAGGACAGCTTGAGCTCTTGTGATTAGCTGGCCATACAGATCATGCTTTGGTAAGGATGGTAAATGTAGCCCAAAAAATAATCTACATTCAATCACACCATGGTCTTATGTTGCTTTAATAATTTGACCTCAAGCTGGAAGCAGTTTATAGGAGTAGTGAAGGTGCTGGCCTAGAAACTAGGATGGCAAAAAAGCCAGCTGTTGATTTTGGGCCAGCCATTCTCTCTACACTCGACTCACCAGGTTATTGTTGTGGGGTAAACAAGAAGAGGAAGGAGTACTGGGGTTCTTGCTACCTTAAGTTGTATAATGGAAAAAGGGCAAGATTAAAAAAAACCCAGCACCAGCAACTGGGGTGTAAAAATGGCTTAATAGCAGAAATGTTCTCTGTGTGTGTGTGTATGAACAGATACATGCATATATACATACATACTTATTTATTCAATACAATCATTACTAGTAAAGACATTTGGAGTATAAAAGTTACCTTGATGCCACCCCATGAATGATTTGTCAAAAATTCTACAGGACTGGTGACACCTGTTTGGGCAGGATATCGCAGCAGGAAGTTAAGTTCCATTGCACTGATTTCTTTGTTCTTCAGAAGTATCTGAAATAAAAACCCAGACTGAACTATAGAAATTTGCCAACGTTTCATGGAGGCTACAAGGGCAGAAGGAAGACTCCGGATGCTAAAAAATAACAAAATGCTAGCAAGTGGGTGGAAGAGAGAAGTTGGGAGTTGCAGACCTTTCGTACTGAACTGTTTCTCTTCCATTTACTGAACCACAATACAATGAAGGATCTAGAACATTAATTTAACCATCATACAGAGACTCAAAGACAATGATCTACCACTGAAAGTATTACAGAATTTCTTATCTACAATCTGATAAATCTTAAGCAAAATGTTGCAGCATAGAGAACATTATTTACCAGTGCACACCGCTTAGAAAGTAACTGGTATGAGAGTTAACAAACCCACAAGTTACCTGGAAAGTGACTTGGGCTGTGTAAGTCAGTTTGTCACATTCAAAGAGTCCACGAGTTGTATATTGAAACACTGAGAATGTGATACTATCAATCAGGTTGTTTACTCGCTCTTTCAGGATTTCATCTGGTGGAGCTCTTGAGACAGCTTTCTGGAAAACCACATTAAATGCCTAAATGTAGTGAGAAAGAAAAGACAGTGAGAATGGAACACTTTGAATACTTTTAATAGACTTCCAAATGCCCCTGGCTTAATAACAGAGTAACAGAGTTGGAGGAACCTTGGAGGTCTTCTAGTCCAACCCACTGCTCAGGCAGGAAACTGTACCATTTCAGACAAATGGTTGTCCAATCTCTTTTTAAAAACTTCCAGGGTTGGAGCATTCACAACTTCTGAAGGCAAGTTGTCCCACTGATTAATTGTTCTATCCAGTGATGGGATTCAAATATGTTTACTACCAATTCTGTGGGTGTGGCTTAGTGGGTGTGGCATGGCTTGGTGGGTGTGGCTGGGGAAAGATACTGCAAAATTCCCATTCCTTCCCCGCCCCAGCTGCTTTCCAGCTCCATTCTCCTGTACAAGGCAACAAAAGAAGACCCAGCCAATCAGATGGGACTCAGGAGGCAGAGAATAGATGAGGGTGGGGCCAGCCAGAGGTGATATTTGCCGGTTCTCCAAACTACTCAAAGCTTCTGCTACTGATTCTCCAGAATTGTTCAGAACCTGCTGAATACCACCTTTGGTTCTAACTGTCACAAAATTTCTCCTTAGTTCTTCTCTCCATCCATTGCTTCTTGTCCTGCCTTCAGTTGTTTTGGAAAATAGGTTGACCCCATGTTGATTCCATTTTAGCCTTGGAAATTACAATTAAAACAATCTAGTTTTTTATATAAAATGTCATTCTGGCTCTCATTCAGAACACTGAGAAGAAAATAGTAAATAGCACTAGTTAGTATTCAGGCAGTCTAGGAATAAGCAACCTGCATATAAGGCTTTTACCCATGTTTGGCACACAAGATCTTTACGCAGAATGGAAGAATTCCAATTATCAATTTCTTGAAGGCCAAAGATATAAATATGTTATTCTACTGTCATGGGCATTAAGGAAAGCAGGGTTAAATAGAACTGGGCTGCTCCTTCTTTGTCTTTTATTATTAGTAATGGTGTTATACATTATAGAAAAACTGGGCTGCCCTCACAGGTTAGTAGACTCCTGACAAACTCCATTGCAGCTGGGCCAAAGCTATCATTCTGCTTCAACTGCATGGCATATTTGACTCATTAGTTCAAATTTGTTCTGAGCTGAAATTCTGACTTAAACAAATAAAAGGAGCGGGGGGAGAAGGAATTACTTAATTCTTTCACCTTACTAGGAAATTTTGTAAGAAATTTCTCTTACAGACACATCTTACAGGCATAGTAGAGCTCCAAAGCTAATTTACATGGCTATTGCCTTCCTAGTCAGTATATCATGTTTTTTATGGTGCCTGAGCTCTGTTTTGGGCTGGGGATGAATTGTGGTTTTTAGTTGTCTTGGCTGCTCTTTTCAACTCTCCATTCTTCTTTTCAGCCAGCCTTATGTTCTACCCCACAATAATTTAGTATCTCTTCCTTTTTCAATTCCTTGCAGCTTCACCTGTCAGCAAATCATCCTTTTTTTTCTTCTCTTCATATCTTTCAAATCCCAGGATTTTAGTCAATAACTAAAGCTTAACATTAGGGCAATTTTTATAGATTTCACCATGGATACATTTGGCATCAGGCACTGAATTGTCATTCTTGGTGGCAGGGATTACTTTATGCAATATGTCACTGGAATTAAACCAGGTGTGTTCCTTACTTCAGATTGGGAGAGCTTCAAAACATATTTATTCTCTCAGGCCTTTTATCATTGCTATTTGGCTTCTGTACTTTATGACAGTTATATTTTAATGTTGTTGTTTTTTTATAAAAACCCTTTGCTGTTCTTTATGAGCCATCCAGAAATTATTTTCATGGGTTTCATGAATTTTCATATTAAAGATATTTTTAGGCTTGTAACAAACTTACCAATTATCAATCTACAGATTTCTGAAAAATATATGCACATCATATATAGCATTCTAAGTGTGTGCTATTAGTTTGTGGAAAGCTGGCAGAAATAAGTTGGCTTACAGGATAATTATAAGATTAGAGGTCCAACTTGCATTGAATAGCATAAACATAAATGAGATGAAAATTGGGCTGTAGTTGCATATATGGCACACTGGCTAAAATGTACCAGAACTGGCCAATACTTTTCTTAACGTTAGCTGCAATGCTTCTTGTAACAAGGGTACCTCAATGGATTGTGCACTTTATTTATATTATTAAAAAATGTTAAGTGAAAGTTTGAAGCCATGATGGGCACCAGAGATCAACATCTATAGGCACAGTATGTGACAATCATGAAGTCACATATGAAGAGTATGAATTAACAGAACAAAAAGAAAGTAGGAAGGCAAAAAGGCAAGCAAGCAAGACAATCTTTGCACTATAAAACAAAAAAATGCCAAAAACTGTAAGAGATTTAAATGTTGATGGTTTGATCTTGGATAGTTGATGCACAGATGCATGAAAGTGAATATGAGGCTTAATTAGAGTGAAAAGACTAAGATTAATGTCAGATAACATGGATTTATGTAACCTAGATTGTTGTGAGTACTTATAAAACAAGGAATCTATAAATTAGTTATAGTTACATGCAGGGGTGGGATTCAAATTTTTTAACAACCGGTTCTGTGGGTGTGGCTCAGTTGGTGAGTGTGGCTTGGTGGTCATGTGACTGGGTGGACTTGGCTTGGTGGTCATGTTATTGGCTGGGTGTGGCCAACTCAATATCACTCACATCAAGGCATGCATCTCCTCGCCTGACCTCTCATGACTGTGAGGATGCTGCAACAGTCATAAGTGTGAAAATGGTCATTTTACAGTGCCATTGTAACTTTGAATGGTCACTCCACACAAGCAAAGTACCAGCAAAGGAGGGGAAAAAATTCCAGAGAAGTTCCTGAGACAGGAAGTCTAGTCCTGCCAAGAATGTAATAAGGGTTAATGGAGAGGCAGTTTCTGTAAGCAATACCAGAATGTTTCCTTCCTGCCTTCCTTTCAGGAAACTGCTTAGAATATTAACAACCTGTTCTAACGAACAGGTGAGAACTGGTAGAATCCCACCCCTGGTTATATGTTAGGCTCCAATGAATGATGATAAGAGAAGAAGGGTGAATTTTCAAGAAAACTATACAGCATTTTAGATTAATATGATCCAAGGGGAAATTTCTGTTAGGTGATTTAAATCTAAAGCTGTTAGGTGACTTGCTTGAATGGGTGGAAATGAAAACAGAGGATATAGAGAAAGTTATTGGACGATGGATGAGCATGGTGACTCATGATGAATATGTGCTTACAAAAAGGTCTACAGTACTTATTGCAGATCAATCGATTAAGCAAGATCTATTGCTTTATTAATATCTAGAAATTAATATTAACTAATTTAATACCTGTTAATGTCTAGAAAAAGAGGTAATTGAAAAGTTTGACTGATTAGATTGCAGTGAAAATTTGGGAGAAATAATGCACCCTTTCCTGGATCAGGTGTCCCTGCACTCAAACGTTCAAGCTCACAGTTGGACTACTACAATTTCTTCTACTCGAGGCTATACTTGAAAAGTATCCGGAAGCTTCAGCTGGTGCAGAATGCAGCTGGATTGGGGCACTAGGGTGGCTCATGTTATACCGCTGTTATGCAAGCTGCACTGGCTGCAATTCAGGTGGTTGGTTACCACCTTTAAAGCCCTGCATGAAAAGGGACCAAGCTACCTGAGAAACCAGATCACCCTAATGGGATTAGCTCACTCTACCCAGGCCAGCAGAAGAACCCCATCAGCCAAGAAATTTCAGCTGGCAGGATCCAGAAGAAGAGCATTTCTGCCATGGTTCCTGCTCACTAGAATATCATGTCCACCAAGATGAGATTCACCCTCTTGGCCTTCCAAAAGACCTTGAAATTTGGATATGGTATTTTGGAGGTGGCTAATAGAATAGATTACACCCCGCCTTCCTGAGTCCACTTCATTTCCTTCCTTTCCATCCTGATTAGTTTTAATTTAATTTTAAATTTATGATTCTTACTTATTGTTCTAATGTTTCATAGTGCATTTTATTTGAATGCCTGTAAGCTGCCTAGTGTCATCTCTAGCAGGATAAACAGCATACAAGATGAATGGATGGATGGATGGATGAATAGATGGATGAAAAGGATTTAATTACTCTTCAATTCTTTTTGATCCCATTGCACATATTTCCTCAAGGATTTAACAAGCTTCTTTTGTAGATTCAATAAAAACATTTTCCAGGTCATAGTCTTGGTTTATCATTCATATTTCCCTTTTAGTTTTTAAAGCTTTAGCCAGTTTCTTTGCATATCCAGCTCAGTAAAACAGTGCAAGTTTACTCCATTTCTGCTGCACTTTTGAGATTAGTGGGTGCTTTTCTTCTAGTGAAGAAGCAGGCCAATAAAGCCAGAAGGAAAAAAAACAGTCTATCACAGATGGCACATGCAAAAATCAGGATAGTACCCATTTGGAAGTGTTTTGGATCAGAAGAAACAGAGACAAGATAGGGATTGGGAACAGAGGCACAAATTTCATTTTGATATTGTTTCTGCCTATTGAGGGATGGAAATTATATTATAAAAACTAAGAATTAGAGAAAATCTCCACGCAAACACACACGCACAAAAATAACTCACAAAATGTCTACTTTCCTCAAGCAACAGAATTTTTTCCCTAAAATGATCAATAATAGGCGATTACCTTGCATTATGTTTCCTCAAGAGAAAACAAAGTTCAATTTTTAAAAAACCCTGTTTTCATGTAAAGTATCCTTACATAGTTCCTGTGATAGCTGAAATATTCAAAACCAGAAAAGCAAACAATTGGGGGGGGGGGACTCTGAGCAAATAAAAACCATACACAAAAGTCATCAGTTGCCATCAAATGGAATATACAATAGAGCAATTATGGATGGAAAGGAATTTGGACTGAATTCTAAATTGCTACGTATATCTTGCTCTTAAGTTAAATGCATGCCATGTTAACCCTTAAAGAATGTTTCACAGGAATGAAAGTCTCAGCAAAAAATTAAAAATAGTTTCTAGTAATATTTTGTTTAGGCATGCAATATTGTCATAGGAGAAGGTGTTTTTTTCCACAGAATGTTCTTAGAGCTTTCTGTAACTTGAGCTATTGCAAATTGTAAAGAACTATTTAAATCTCTGGTGGAAACTTAATGCAATAACATTTGTTTCTCTAGTCTTCTATAAAGTGAAATTCAGCAGATTTCTACAAAAGTTTAAACTATTTAATCTGCCGCATTCAGTGTCTGAATATTATAAAAACATAAAGAATGGCACAAACAAAGGCCAGGAACCTTTCTGTCATACATTTTTATAATGCCCAAAAAGAACTGATTAAAGATGACATAATTCACAGCTCTGAATATCCTTAAATATCCTGAAAACTTAAGACCTAGGACATTAAAAAATACAATCTCAATCTGTTGATATATTTTGCATTAGCTCATTAATGAAGCTAATTAAGGGAGAGTGTGCAGGGAGTAAATAGGCCCTTGTGGCTGACATGAATAATTATGAGTCATTCAGAACATCTGCAAAGCACAAAAATATTTTTAAAAAATAATTGCTGAAATTTTGCGGGAGAAAAACAAGATTTCACAATGAATGGTGAAATCTTTCCAGACTCAGTGAAATTTTGGCTGTTTTGAATTACCAAAGTTTAGTGACATTTTCACCTGAGATTACTATATACAATAATGTTTAAAGTACTGGCAAGATTGCTAGGCCCTTCCTGCTAAAAAAATTCAAAATATTCTCAAAGATCCATCTCATTCCCGGCACCCTTTTTTTGAACTATTACCATCTGGCAGATGGTACAGGATAATAAAAACAGGAACAAATAGACTGAAAAACAGCTTCTATCCCAGGGCAGTAACTCTATTGAATTCTATTGTATAGTGCAATATTAATGGAATATCAGGGGTTTCAATTCAATGGATAGAATGTGAAGGATGTATGTTTATTTTCATAGTCATAATGTACACTGAAGATGGTATTTAATTTCGTTGTACGAAGTGCAATGACAATAATGTAAACTAAACTAAACTAGTGGGTCTCTTTAGACTCAGGCTTCTTATCTGTCTAACATTTAGAAAAGATTTGGAATGGAAAAGAGAGAGAAGGGGGTAAAGCCAACTCTTACTGTAGATGAAACTATAGTACCTTTAGGGAAAATTGGTACATGGGATTGATGGTGTTGAGGTCATTCATGATGAAATACAGCAGGGAAGCACGAGCTGCTGCCGGACGGTAATGTTCCCTTGCCTCATTAATCTTGGTTTCTGTTATCTTGGACTCCTGGACCTGAAAGGAAGTAACAATAAAACTATGAAGAAGCAAGATAGCCACACCTACTGTAGCTACAGATTTTCTTTGTTTGCATGGAGATGGCATGGTTTTAGATAAATGTGTGCAGATGCAGCACGTGACATATATCTCCTCTCCTGCCTGCTTCTAATGTGTCAAATCCCAGCATTTCCAGATAGAATTAGAATTAGAAGAACTTTATTGTCATTGTACAAGCACAACGAAACTGTGGATGCACCCCAGCAACTGTTCGCAATACAATAAAACCAAAGCACTTAAAAATGAAGATAAGAAAAATAGAGTACCCACGTCTCCATTTGCAATTTGAGAGCACAACTTACATTCAACCATCGCTTCATCTGTAAGTTAATTATCGAATTAACTTCCATCAGATTCTCTTCTCTTTCCAAGGTCATTACTATGCCCACATTAAATTTTCGCATGTCTTAAAATGGAGGTGTTACGTAACTTTATCAGCAAGGATGTCTGGGTGTCAGCTACCAAAGCTTGAAAGTACCCTCTGCACAAATAGTTCAGAAACATCTCTCATTTGTGCCGAAGGGCAAACTTGGCAGTGCCCATTCCCATGGCTCTTCAGTGTGGTTACAGGTGAAAGATGTCATCCGTTATTTGCAAAGCAAATCATCTACGTCAGATGAGTATTGAACAGATAATTTTCAAAGCCAAATTTTCACTCAGGGAGTGAAAAGATGCTGAATTCCAGCCAATTTAATACAGACTGTGGAAACTTCAGCAGATTCTGCCACACTGTATAGCCTCCACTTGATTCCTAATTTAATTCAGTAAATGTAATGCGTGTGAATTAACTCAAGTAAAACACTTTGGAATTAAACTTAAATGCTTTAAAACATCTTGTTAGAATTCTGTAGTTGTACGGTCTTCGCATCCAGTGCTACTATTTCTCTTAAATTGCTCATTAAAGGCATCTGAACTAAAACAAAAATGCTCAGTAAATCTTGCCAGAATGTGGTTTTATCGTGATTTCTAGTCTCCAAGCTGCAGAACAAACAAGATGCATTTAACCAATGTATTTACTTTTAAATTTTATTTACAAATTTCCAGAAAATTGACAAAATACCTAAATATACCAACACAAACACATACGCAATTAACAAAACAATATTTGAAGGAAAAAATTGAAATAAAAAAAGATTAATAAAAAAACCTAAACAAACTAAAAATGAGAGAATAAGAAAAAAAAACCTACCTTATATATTATATTTATCAACAGTCACTAGTAAGTTTTTTTTTCTTATGCTCAATCATGTCTGATTCTCAGAGACTGCCTGAAAAAGTTCCTGCAGGGTTTTTTTGGTAAGGTTTTCAGAAGTGGTTTACCATTGCTCTCTGTTTAGGGCTGAGAGAAAGTGACTGGCCAAGGTCTCCCTGCTGACTTTGTTCCTAAGGCAGGTCTAGAACTCATGGATTCCTGGTTTCTAGCTTGATGCCTTAACCACTAAACAAAACTGGCTATCAATAAATATCAACATTTAAACAATTCATATTCACTCAGTGTCTCTTAACATAGATTTTTGTTCCTAGTCACACACCAGACTCAATTTAGCAATTTTACCTTATCTTCAATTTCCGCAGCTGTTTGTTTAGTGACTTCCAAATTCTCCACCAAGGCAGTATCTGCTAAAAAGTTCCCTGAGGCAGACGAGAGACGGGACAGCAAGTTGTCCTCCAAAGTTTTCAAGGTAATTTTGTAACCATTCTGTTGCTTTGTGAGATCAGACTGTAAAAAGTTGAGATATGTAATATATATAGCATATTATATCATTTTCAAAGCAAATCAAAGCAAATCAAAAATCAGGGATCTCCAAACTTGGCAACTTTAACAATTGTGGACTTCAATTCCCAGAATTCCTCAGCCAACCATGATGCTGGCTGGGGAATTCTGGGATTTGAGGTCCACAAGTCATAAAGTTGTAAAGTTTGGAGATCCCTCTGTTAAACCATCATATGCTGGAAATTCCCTCTTTGGGAAAATGAAATGCGATATGGCACACCCCTCCAAATTTAAATAGATGATGTATGTATGCAGCATATAGTGTATAACAGTTAAAATTAAGGACGGCAGATACCCTTCATTTTCATTCAAGGGCCCAGCCCAGACTTCCAAAAATCTGTATTAGGGTGATTGTTCCAGAGACAATCCAGTCCAGTTTGATGCCTAGATCTGGCAAGAATTCCAGAAGAAGATATTAGGAATAAAACCTACAAAACAGATATAATACATTCAGTTGATTTTTATTTTTATTTTTTAATGACCCTGTAATCTCTTGCATCAGGATAGAGTTGGGGCAACAGAATGAGCTGAGTGTTTCCTGGCCGGATGCTCTTCCTGTTGCCAGTGCAGTTTGCAGCTGATATTTAGTCATTGTGTCCAGAGAGAGGCCACTACACATTAACATATTCAGCTGAATGAAAGTGGATAAAATGTATAGTGTTTCAGCTTAAACTAGAATCTTATGCTCAAATTCTCCAGAATCTACAGGGATTTTCTAGGTCCCAAATAAATGTCATAAGACTGAGCAGCACTGGAGATGATACAAATTGAAAGACCACAGATCTTTCTGAATTCAAAATATTTCTAATCAGTCTAATGTCAATGTGCACATGCTACCCATGTAGTATGGCTATAATATTATTATTTATCCTTCTTATTATCTCCTTTACTCCTTTCCCTCTTATTGAGATGATGATTGATGATGGTGATTCTGTTACTTTGCATGTACACTGAGAGTTTCTGTGTCGGTCATGAATTCCTTGTGTGTCAGATCACACTTTGCCATATAAAGTATTCAATTCAATTCAGTTTCTGTTGCAAGAAAATGTGATTGATATAATCAGCAGTAGTTTGCTCATAATGATCACTCTGTTTTGAGAAGAGGCCAACAATCACAGAATCTAAACCCCATTTGTTTCTATCACAGCATTTCACTCAAAGGATAATTTGGATTGTTTGCTCCTCTGTGTCCCCCCCCACCCCAGGTGCTTTTGGGGATGGAGGAGGTACCTCTCAATGCAATGTCTTTTCAGCAAGAGCTCCAGAAGAAAGAGATTAGGAATAAAAATTTGATGGAGTCTGCAACTGTGAAACATCTCCATGAACATATGTTCTGAATTTCCCTCTTCCTCTTGCTGCTCCTCCACTTCAAGTGCAAGTTTGCCATTCTTACCTAAACTCTAATTTACTAGTCAGGATTGCTATTCTGACATTACAGATGGGAAGGGAAAAGTCTTGGATATGGGAAATGTGGAAACAGGCTTGCCGAGGCTGGGATTTTTTTAAAACACAAATGTTTCCTTCTTTCCTAGTTTTTGAAAATGTTGTTTAATTAAAAAGAACCTTTCTTATAAAAGCTACTATGATGAAGTAATTAATAACTTTTTTTCTTAGGCCATAGGCTAACTATAGATCTATTTGGGGAAAAAAAGACAAAGCAAAACTATAAAGCTGTTATTTTTCTTACTTCAAAGAAGTAATTAATTTAACTGAAAAGCATTGCTTCTTCAATAGATTTAATGATTTTTTTTTCGCAACTGCTTAGCCCAATTTGGTTTTCTTTGCATAGCCAGGTTGGGGTAAGATATATGGGATAAGAAATTTAATATATAACTTCAGAACGTTTCTTTCTGCAGTACAAAAGAACAATATGGTAAACTCAATCTTTTCCAACTTTCTCCACAGCAATACCAATTCTCTGAAATAAAGTTGAGAGCAATAAGAATAACAATAACCCAAAGTCCTGTTGTGCTGATAAAATTAAGACGCCTAAATCCTTAATTTGTTATGCATTTCCAACTGTACAGGCAGATTCTTTCATTTCCATTAATTATCCATTTCTTTCCAAACTCCTTATTCATTATTGTGAACTCTACATCCTGCATCTTCAGTCTCTAGGACAGATCAGCAGATGGTTGGCAAATCATTTAGCAGGAAATTTGTTTTTCTGTGCTATATATTAGGAAGCCTGATTAAATTTTAAACCCCTCCCACTTCCCAAAACATGGACTTCCTTCTGTGCATCTAGCAAGATATGGGTTTTGTCATGCTCCCGTCGGAGCCTGAATCTGAAGATGAGGACGAGCTGGAGGTAGAGTTGATGGAGATCGAGGGGGCGGCTTTGTTGGCTTTGGAGGAATGTGGAGAGGAGCAGGACGAGGCAGCTCAAGGCCCCTCAGGATTGAGACAGCTTGTTAGCAGGGAGGAACGGGGGCAGGATGACCAAGAGAGGGCAAGCAGTGGACATGAGGAGCAACAGAACTCAGGCAATGAGCAAGGACCGTCCCCTCCTGATCCCCGAGCAGAAAGTGTGGAGAGAAGGCCAACAGTGCAGGCCAACCCGATGACTCAGAAGGCGAGTGCCCCACCCCTTTTCACAAGGCACACCTGAGGACTGAGATTTAAGGAGATGCTGTGGGGAGGGGCATTTGTCAGGAACAAATGCTGAATTGGCAGAGTTTGGTGTGCCGTTACTGACATTTGGAATTTGCAGGACTGCTGTTTCACACTTATGACCATTGCAATTTTCCCATGGTCATCTGATCAAAATTCAGACGTTTGGCAACTGACTCATACTTATGACAGTTTCAATGTCCCAAAGTCATGTGATCAGCTTTTGTGACCTTTTGACAAGCAAAGTCAATGGGGAATCCAGATTCACTTAACTCTGTTATCAAACTTAATAAATGCAGTGACTCATTTAACAAATGTTTCACTTAGCAACATAAATTTTGGGCTCAATTATGGTCATAACTCTAAGACTACCTGTACTGTCCTTTTTCATCTCACAAACATAGTAATTCCTCCTGATTTCTCTATTACTGTGAATTTGGAGACAGTTGTCCATAAGTCATACAGTTTAATATGAACTTCAAACACTCTGTAAGCACTAATTACAGAATTTCCCTATTTGTTTATCCAACTTTCTTTGATCCATTTATGTGGTTGCTCACTCACCAAGTTGCTCTAACGAATATACTCTCAGCATTGGGTTTTTAAGGCTAATTTTACCAGCTTGTACAAGGTTTCTAATTTTTAAAATATGCAAATGATATAATCGTGACTGAAGATTTTGACTTTTCCTAGTGTCGAGACACAAAATGGACCTTATGATTAATTATTTTTTTAGCTGACGCAATATTCCCTGAGAAGCCAGAGAATGGAGAGAGAGAAAGAGAAATGATTTGCTACATTGAATGGAAAAATTTTATGCCATCTTGAGTTCTTCTCTAGGGGCTGTTGTCTGTGGCAGCAGGTTTCTCTAGACTACTGTTTAGCAACTGTATTATAACAAGCCACACACAAATTTTTTGCAAGGGCTCCTTATGTGTCAATAGCAACATATTGTTCAGCTACAAGAAGAAGGATGACTATTTTCAGTAGAACCAAAAAATCTTGGTAAACATGTCTCAATTTGCTAAAGTACTCAGACGACAGCTCTAGTTTGTAATGTTTCATGCACAGCTTGAGAATTAATTGAAGTAATCACTTTAGGACATTTTATGTTTAGGACATTTTATGCATGTACTACTGCATCTCTCAGCATTACTACAACCTAGGCAATAGCATTTGCTGAGCTGTTCATTGATTCAACATATGTACATTTATTTAGTCAAGGAAAAAAAAAACAATCAGTAGCAAGAAAAGCCATAAAATGCCTGAACTATGTCATTTTTGTGTATCTCCTTTGAGCCATAGAAACACTCCAAAAAGCAGAATTAATGATGCTGTCACCAATTGAAAAAGTGGTGTTGCCACCATCAAAAACAAAAGTTTTATCTGATTTGGCAAGTGAAATTACTGTAGTTCCAATGGTAGGAATTTTGAAAGCTACAGTCCCAATACTAGATGAAGGAGCTTCCAGTTTTGGATAAGGCTACACTAATAATCTATTTAATGTTAATTGCCAATATTGAAAGTGCTGGCTCTAGTTGGCCAGATGTACATTAAATCTTTTTATAACAAAACACAAAATCTATTTAACATGTTTATCCTAAACTCTACTAGCTTCATGACTGAGGCCTGCAGAAATACTACTTTGGGAATAGTTACTTTAACTTTTCTTATCTCTGATAATAGATACAAGTAATGGTTCAAAACATGGGTAATGCTGGAAAGATCAAAAGGAGATTAATTCAGTTCATCCTGGATTCTGTTAGTTACCTTTAATTCTTCCAGGTCAGGCCTCTCCATGCTCACAACTGCTGCCAGCAGCTGGTCTTCTAGGCCATCCCGAGTCACAGTAAAGTTGATGAGGGTGCACTGTGCTTGCATTTCTGGCTGGTAATGGGGATTGGCTAGTTTTGTATGAAGGATCAGTTGGAAGCTGGGGTTGTACTCACATTCTTTATCTCCAATTTTAATGAACCTGAAAGAAGATTAAGCATGATTATTCATGCCTGCCTTATCCCTATGCCATGATAAGATGATTAATAAGATTCCAGAGGTGGAATCGATCATTCTAAACCAGCTTTCTCTGATTTTAGTCCTCCACATATAATAGACTGATTCCCATAATCACCAAAGGTCCTGCTGGCTTTTGAAGTCCAACTTATTTGGAGGACACATTTACCATTGCAATACCCTCCTTGTCCTTTAGGAAAGGAACAAAATGTACTATGCAGCAGCTCCTATAATTTATGCCAATTAAGTTAAATCAAATCCATCAGTGTGCCATAGTGGGTTAAGGTATTGGACTACAGGAGCTCACTGGGAGAGTTTGGGCCAACCTCTGTCTGTTAGCCCAAACTATTTACAAGAAAAATGAGGAGAAAGGAGGGTTATGAATACCAGTTTGAGTTCCCGGTTGAAAGGTAGGATATAAATCGAATCGATAAATATTAAATCTATCCATTACGCTGGTTGTGCAAAATAGTTTTGCAATTTTGAGGGCTTCAGAAAAGTTTTTGAACCCTGATACTGTTATCTTAGGCCTTAGGGTGGGGAGGATAACAGATGTCATACGCATCTTTCAGAGGATGATGGCTATAGAACCCGGTCGTTCACTATCATCTCACCTTCCTTTTTTTATTGTCTCTCGCCCCAGCAATGGACCTAACACTGGATCAACGGATTCTTCCAAGTTCTCAATCAGAACAACTTCTCCAGCAGCAAGAGCTTGTTCCACAATGTCCAGATACCTAAGAAATACGGCATCAGGATGATACGCATTAAGGAAAACCTTGAGAAACTCCCAGAGTAAAGAGAAGGATGAAATCATTACTAAAGGTGTAGATGGGGAAGAGTTGGTGATCATGAATGAGGCAGACCAATGACCTGCTCTAGGTATTTATTGTTATATTCTTACTTAAGGAAAGTGGATTGCCAGATAGAACAATACTTCGGTTCCTCAAAAAATTGGGTTTTGCAAAATTCAAGAGACTTAGAAAGTAACTGGAACCAAAGCCTTTTTTTTAATAGAGAGGTGCCTAAGTTTTTTCCATGCATTATCTTTTTTAAGAACATAAAAATCCAGGCTTCTATAACAAGAGCCCCTGGTGAGTTCCAGATGTTCTGGGATTCCATGATGACTGGGAATTCTGAGGATAATAGTTTCAGTCAGTGGTGGGATTCAAAAAAAATTACTACATGTTCTGGGGGTGTGACACGGTGAGTGTGGCAGGGGAAGGAGACTGTAAAATCTCCAGTCAGAGGTGGTATTTGCCAAACTACTCAAAATTTCCACTACCAGCTCTCCAGAACTGGTCAGAACCTGCTGAATACCACCTCTGGTTTCAGTACTCCTGGAAAATGCTAGGTTACATAAAATAGCTTTATCCTATTAATGTATTGTCTCCCTCTCCCTCCAAACAGCAAATTGAGATTCCCTGAACCCTGATAGTCTGAGTATATAGTTATAAATAACAGAAGCATAACTGTTTAAATTAGGCAAGGAGACTGAAGAAAGAATACTAATGTTATGTTTTAAAAAGTTCACCAATGGCTGTAAATAAATAACTATTTCAGCCAGGAGAGAGAATTTGGGTACGGCTCTTCAACTATGACTTTTAATCATTATGAACCACTAAAATTCAGGCTTTATACCAAGTTTGGCTATAAATCTTCCAATCTTAATCCCTTGTTCAGAAGACAGAAGGCTCCCAGGCACAACAGACTAAATTTATCTTTTTGTTACTGACTAGGAAGAAGCCATACACATTCAGAAAACTGGCTCCCTACAGAAACAGAAACAAGCCTACATTCCAAGATTTAAGTTCTAGATTATTTTTCTCCTGCCTTTTCAAGTCAACATCCTCTTGATGACCTTGCAATTTGATCTATGCTGACTTAACAATTCCCTCTCAAATGGTAACTACTAGGTTCCAATGTTATTCCTTACCCCTAAGTACCCCTTTATTAAATCAAATCTGGCAATATACTGCACAATTTTTAAACAGTGGAATGATTTACTTGAAGGCATTTAATAAAAAAATATGTGAGTTGACTAGTTAATTTTTATAACTTCATCTTCCTACTGGGAGCTTTTATTTTTGTAGATTGTGTAGTATATATTCCTTAACTTGTTTAAAAACTACATTGGTTATTTGAATTAAGCATTTTCCCCTTTGTGGTGGTAATCCTTTGTCCTGAATGAGCAACATTGAAGATCTAACATACAGCATATTTATATTTGATGCCCAGATGCATGTTTCATCTCTGAATGGTTGGTTATGCCAATAGACACTTTATTTAATCTAAATATTTTATTGGTTTGTGTGCGTATATACTTCCTCATGTTAGATACAACTTTATTCTACTATATGCTAAACTAAAAAACAGAATCATTCTGATTACCCTCTCTGGCAAAGTCTAAGCAGTAGTAATTGTGCTTAGGGCCTTGTTACTTGAGGCACTATCTATCTTCAGCAGTATCTTTCTAGCCAATTTGATCCTGCAGGATTGGCATATTCCAGGTTCCTTCGATGTGCCATCTGTTGGAACCCACAAAACTCAGTTGCAACGCCTGTCCCTTGGAATGAGGTTCTTCTTCAAGATCTGGATGGTGATCTGGACGGTGGCCAGCCCTGCTAGTGTTTTAAAGAACCTTGGACATCTGGTTCTTTGCCAAGGCTAAGGTGGTTGAAGTCCCTTCTGAGTAGTGTGGGTGAGTCTCTCACTGTTGCCTAGTTATGCCATGTTTTGTTTGTCTTTATTGTAGTATTATTTTATTTCTCTTTTGCTCTATTTTAACTTTATTAGCTGCCTAGAGTCACTGGGAATTGGATAGTATACAAGTGTAATAAACAGTACATTAATTAATACATTTGCTGTATTACTCTGGGGAAACAGTTGTGCTGTTTTTTATTTTACACAATGTTGTAATCATATATTTGTTCTATTCCTGATTTTGCTTTGAAGTTTGTATTCTTTTGGAAGGTGCTTAGAGCTTTCTTCAGATTTACAAAGCATACAAATTGCAGTAAATGTTTTAACTCTTTCTTTGTTTTTTGAGTTGAGTTTGGCTACTATAACTTATTTCAATCAGTGATTACCTTAATAAAATCTATTCTATCACAGCATTGCCTAGCTTACCCTATCCGTTAAAAGAACAGCATTAATCTTGAGTTTCTTTTATAAGATATAACAACACCCACTGTCTGAAAGATGGGGATATCCATAAATCATGAGAGATACAGGGCAAAAATACTTTTCCAGGCTAATACAGATGTATCTAATAGCCAGCTAAACTCACAGCAACAAAACCTATTAGCAAAATTATCAGCACTGGTTAAATAAAAATTAAGAACTGTAAAAATGTCTGGATTTCAGCATTTTTAAAATCTGTGACAATGCATCTAAGGCAGGCCTCTTCATTAGGACAGATAAAATAGGAGATAAAAACAGCCAGAATTTGCTCTCTTTGAATTCTTTTTAAATCTTCTCAAAGATAATTTGTTAGGAAATCTTCTAAGCAGGGGACCAAGGCATTACTTCTACCCTCACACTAATAAGCTTCCTTTGAGAACTCACAAAGGTCTGGAAGACCCTTGTCTCTCAGAGGCCTGGATCCCTCTATTTCTTTATCTGAATTACAGAAAAAAGAGAACAGAGATTAAATCACTAGCACTGCGACGTACAGCGTGCTGGTACCTTCTTCTCATTCTCCATTCAGTTTCAAGTTTCTATAGCAACCATGACAAGTTCTACAAAGTTCCTCCCCATTTGATAAGAAATTTCTGTCATTTTTAGAGTAAACAAAGCAGGTTAATGCCCAAAAGTTTGATATAGCATCAAGTTGGAGAGCTTTTTCTTAAAATATAGTTGGCTCCCACAATCGGAACTACGTACATCAAACGTGATCCCCAGTTATGAGGCTACTATTGAACAAATCCATTATTTTCCTGCCGTTTTGTTTAATCATGCCTGCTCACCCCTTCTGGCCAATCCGAGTCACTCTGAGGTCTTCTCCATACTTGGTTTTTATCCACTTGATACCCTGCAGCTGGGGGTCAACCATGAGTGGCCATCGCTCACAGTTGGTGAGAATGGTAGCATTTTCAACAGACATGCGATCAGCTGGTAGACTTTCATTTTGCCAAGCTGCTATGTCAGCATCATCAGTGAGCATCTTCAGAGGGTCCAAAGAGGGAGTGACAGGAATTGCAACCTGGGACAATCAAAACATTATCACCTACAGCCAAAAGATAATGAGTCTGCATTTCAACTATGCACAAAAAAGCACATGTGATCTGGTCATAATGTAAACTGTCATCCAAGACACTGAAGGTAACAATGTTCAAGAAAGCATTCTTTAGTGACTTTTATCTAAGAACAATAGGTTTCTTTTTCTTATTATTCCAATGAAACAGAATAAGGTAGAAGTTTTCTTGCCGTGGCTTCTCCCATCAAGAAATACTCATGCTTCTCCTTTTGAAAATGGAAGGACTCTGAAATAGCTGGAGTAACATAAGTCCCTCATGTTGTCATACCAACAACATAGATAACACTGTTCCTTGCTCTTAATAGATAACTACAACAATAAGGTCAAATAGTCAATTTATGTACCAGCAGTCTTATATTAACTGTCCTTGTGCATAGAGTTCTAATTGCACTCTGATCTTATTTCCAGATTTTGGCATCAATAATATATATTTACAATGCATCAGCCAGCTTTGACATCTGACATTGTAGGAGGGAGAAACTGTTATTTTATGGTGTCCAAAAGTTAAAAATTTGGTAGCACCTTTTCCAGCTAAAGAATTTTATTAAGAGGCACTGGTTTTCATGAGCTATGGGTCTCAGATTCATCATCAGATCCAGTTTAGGGCTGAGGGAATGTATGTTTTCAGTGGTTGGAAGAAGCATAGAATGACTCCATCCATGTACTGCTTCTTCCTTGAGCAATGGGAGAAATTCAGTGGCAATGGCCTCCTGGAAGGGCTTGACAGTTTGCCCTTGGTTATTAAAAAGGAATTAGCCTACAAAGGGAAATAATTAGACTATCTTTCTCTTATTCCCATGTTATTTTGTATTTTTCAATTTTGATTAAAATATTCAGTAGGTGAGCTGAAAGTTAGTGTGTACTATATAGCTATACTAACTTTTTGTAGATATAGCAAAAGTTAGTGGGCTGGAGGCAACCAATGCCCTCTTCTTTTGCCTTTATGTACACGGATACCAGTCAATGACACAGAAATCTCAAAGAATGAAGCCTGGAGCAGACAAATCTGACAACTTGGTAAAGAAAGATATGATTATCATTACAAGTTGTTCTTTAGAAGAATGTAATTAACACATTCACACATCTGCTGTTCTGCTGCAAGGCAATATTCACAGTTCTGAGAAGATGCAAGTCCTACATGCCAGCCCACATTGAAGCCAATCAAGCACTGCTAGAATATTAGGGACTAGAGTCATTAAAGTTCTTTCATATCTTTTCAATCAATATGTGATTTCACATTGCAATAACAAGATATTAAAATAGTAATTTTATTAAAAATTACAATTTCAAAGGTACAAACTAATATATACTAAAACATTAAAGAATAAAAAATAGAAGGGGCAGGAAAGAAAATAATAGAAAGAAAAATATAGTAAAGAAAAAGGAAATAGCTAAAGAAATGTTTTCTCCCTTCATCACAAGTATAAACAATTTTAGTAACTTATCTTCTCTTAAATACAACAAATGATCTCTTCTTCCCATAACCCTTAAAACTTCATCATTTCAGTCCTGATCAGCAAAAGTATGTTAAGGTTGGTTGGTTGGTTTGTAAAATTTATTGGCCACCCATCTTACCACAAGATAACTCTGGGCAGCATTATCAGGATTACCAGAGATAACAGTATATCAATTTCAACCTTGGCCAAATAAACCAACTTTATATTCCTTCCTTTTATTTTTAATAACCTTGAGCTTTTCACCTTCGAATAATGTCCTAGAACTTGGTTTTTTCAATGTTTATTTGTCCCTTCTCATAAAATTCTATAAAGCTTTAACAAGCCTATTTTTTTTACATCCAGTATCAAAAAGTTATCCAGTTCACATTTTTGGTTTGTTATTTCTATATTCCCTTTAATTATTAAAAGATCAGTCAGTTTCTTTTACATGTCCAGCATAGGTGCTTTCTCCATATTATTCTTATAGCCTGTTAGTTTTAAAAGTACTTTCAGATCAGTCGCAATATTGTCAGGTAAAACTTGTTCTTCTTTCATAACATATTTTAAACAGGGTCTCTATTAAGGCAATTGACTTAATAGACACTATGAAAATTAACTTATGAGTCCATTAGTTACAAATCCCTTAATATGTCCAATATTAAAATATTTTGCTTCACTCTGTATTAATGTTAATTTTCAATGTTTCTGTTCTAATTGTAATTTTTAGATCTTTCCTAAACCTGCCACTCTTCTGATGAGGAACAACTGTATGAAGTACTTGTGGACTATCTGAATTACTCTCCTTACCTAGAAAGTAACTGCAAAGAGCCAATATACTCACCATCATTTCATTCTGCTATTTTTGTCCACTTTTAGCAGAGCTATCTTCAGTTCATCATGTCTTCCCCCAAAGAGCAACAGCCAGTGGTGGGATTCAGCTTGTTCACATCAGTTCAGGCAAACCAGTTGTTAAATTACCCCCACCACCCCACTATCAAAATGGATCCTGGGCACTGTGCTTCACTGCAATGGAGAAATGGGAAACGGAGCAGCCAGCACAAGGGAAGGAGAAGGTTGATTTCTCTGCTTCTTCTCCCTGCTCCTCCTCCTTCCCACATGCTGGCTGCTCTGTTTCCCATTTCTCCATTGTAGCACAGCACCTAGGATGCACTTTGATATCAGGAGGGGTAATTTAACAAACAGTTAACCCAGAGTCAGGTTGGCCATCATGGGAGGCCCGTTCCACATGTGTGGTGGAGCTGGAGGATGGGAATGGACCATGAATCCCAACATGGCAACAACATATTACTTTTGGCATCAAGTCACAATATGAAGGATAGAAGCCAGAAAGAGGGAAAAAAGAAGATGAGGAAAGACCCCTCATTCCCTGAGAAAACAACCTATGTAAAAAGGAAAGTCTCCCTAACTATTAATTCAAAACAAGTTTTGGCAATTAAAGAAGTATTTCCCAATACCATCTTGGCCAACAGCAGCAACTAAGGCATTTTCAAAAGAGTCATGTGAAAATAATGTATAACATTTGCCTTCTTCTCACTTTTAGTTGCTTTAAGTATGGTTTCCATGCATGGTCCATCAGGTCTTGTCTATATTTCTTGCTGAAATAACCCAAGTAGGAGACAAAGGCAGTAATCAATAAGACATCACCACACAATGCATTTTCTTGCAGTTTGAAATCTCTTACTGAATCAGCCCATCTCACATTTTCAGAGGCCAGGCCCCCAACCTAAAAAAAAACCAAAACAGGAAATTAGACTTCACCAGATTCCATGTCTGACACGTCAATGGAATTTCTACCATAAGAATCATTGTGGAAAGAGTAGAGAAACAAATATTGCTTAAGAAGAGGGGAGATAGTTTTTGGTTTCAATAATCTTCTATTCCTAAACAACACTAAAGCAGCAATTTTAGAATATATGTATCTCCTTAAATAGCCAAGACACTTGCTGGAAAGCTATGGAAACAGCTTGCATCTCCACTGGAACTCTTTGAATCTCCCTTAGGGGATCTATTTCACACTGTTATAAAAGGGGATGAGTCGGGCAATTTAGGAACATAGTATATTTTAATTCCTGTACCTTTGTCTCTTGGAAAACACTTTTCTTTTTTTTAGGCTGGACTTGAGTTAAATAAAAATCATAGTTAGCATAGAACATTTACAACTCAAAAGGAAGAAGTAATATCAAAGCTTTTTCTCTTCCTATCTCTCAATGGAAAAAAAAGGTGGCATGTCTTTATCCATAGCTATGACTGAATAACAGGTATTGTTGGACCACTAAAATTCTTTCTTTCTGGGAGGTGAACTGACCCAAAGAAAGCAGACTGTATCTCACCTTCATATGCATAAAGTCAGAATGTCTAAATATCAATTTAGGGTATCAAAATGCAAAGTTGATCTTAGTTCCCCTAACCAGTTGTAAAGTATGAGTCTTCTTACAAACAGATAACCAGATGGACAAATAACCAAGGGACTTCAAATGCCAGTTCTGAACCAAAGAGATAAGCATTTACTAACCTGTACATATTTCATCAGAAATATATTAAGCTGAACAGAATAATGTTCAAAATTGTCCATGTTTATATTTAACAGAAAGACACAGCTATAGCACACTGTGCTTATGCTTAATTCTGGTCTATCAGCATACCCAAATCACAGACATCCTGTAATTTTATGTGTTTCTATATTTATAGTTGTCTTTATATTTCTATTTTTGTTGCATTGTACTGTAAGCCACCCAGTGTCACTCTGGGTAGTGAGGTGAGCAGAATATAAACTGATTAAATAAATTCTTTTCACAAGTACTACTGCCAAGTCTGGTACCACTTATTGTGGACCAAGGCATCTGGTTGTCCCTACCTAAGTGCCCTGTCATTTTGACAAAATTAATGGAAAAGGGCATCAATCATGTTTCCATGCCAGACTGGACAAAGAGTGATACATGATATATAAAGTCTAAAACAGAAAAAAGGGTCTACAACCAGACCACAAAATGAAAAATTGAATTTTAACAGCTTCATCTTAATCATGTTCACCTTCCATGCTAATTAATTCTTATTGCTTTTTTCCTGATTTCAAATTTTAACTGGCTCTTCTGTGACTGACCTCTTCTGCAATAGTTGCAGCCTAAACTCTCATTCCTCTCTAAATAAATATAAACACAAATGTGAAAATCATTAGCCTTTGTTTATTGACAAAAATGCACAATGACCTAAGATTTGTACTGAAAGTCATGATTGGGGAGATCTCATACTTGGTGCTTGTGTTAATTATTCACAGTGTACTATTCAAATATATGACATTTTGTGTTCAACATTTAATTAGGAAAACTGTGAACTGATGTACCTAGCTTAAATTCTCCATGACATCTTTATGGCAAAAAGCCAATCTGAGCTTTAGTGGCGGGTAAATTCCATTGCATTAATAACACATTTTACTAGAATATCTTCAAGCATCTTGAAGTATTTCAAAAATAATGAGGGAAATAAAGTAGAATACTCTTAAATCTCATACAGTGAAATTCACAGAACACTTAAACCATTGCCTTTGCAGTTATACTGGCTTCATTTCATTAAAAAGCAGTCCTTAAGTTCAGACTGGAAAGAATTGGTAGACTGCAGCAGTAGTTTTTATATGCCCTTGTAGCTATGAATTTTGATCCTAGCCTCAATTATAGTTGTTTGGTAAATTTAGAGGACACTGCATTGCCAGTAGTTTGAAGGTTACAGTAGTAGAAATTGAAAATCACCAGAAAGACAGAAAAAAACTGCAAAACCAATGGCAACAGTTTAAGCTGTTTGCTGTTTCTTAATCAGGCAAGTCTGATCTTTTGCATAATACAAGGTTATAGCACTGTACACCTGAAAGAGACTTATTGCAAAATTCTATGGAACAGTGGTTTTTAAAATCTTGTATGCTCATTACAAATAAAAATTAAAACCTTCCTGTCATGCCAGCTGGAGCTGATGCATGATTATCATGCTGTTAAAAAGCATCACAAAATTAGCCATATATTTGTATAAATGATTAAATATGAGAAAAGAATCTATTGAAATTATTGCATCTCACTTTGAAGGTTAGGCAGGGTTGTATATTTGTGATCATTTTCAAGGAAGATCTGTCCATTGCTTCTATATGGTGCATGTGCCATCACTGAAGTACTGTTACGTTCCTACTAAATGCATTTCCACTATCTTTAATGCACTTTAAATAATTAGTGCTGAAGCTTTTATGTACTCTCATGGATTAGATCCCTATCGTCTTTTTCCTGCTCTGCTGCATGCCAATTCATTGGAAAAGTAGGAAAACCTAGCAGTTCTTTAATTTTCTCTTTGCCAGTACTAAAGAATGAAAAATTACCCACAAAAAACCATACAGTATAGAAGTCCAAACTACTCCCTCATGTAGATTTAATTTAGAAATATTTATCCTTAATGTAGACTTGGAGTCCTAAAACTTTCCAGACTTGCAAACACTTCTAGTTTTCTTTCCAGCCATTCAGACCAAGAAAGACATACTTCAAGAATCTTTCTACCCCACCGGAGGCTTCAGCCAATGATACTCACCAGGCGATTTGCAAGGGAGATGGTATGTTCAGTGGCTTCTGCATCTTGCTGACATTTCAGCTTCTCCATGGTGGCCTTCTCAAATTTGGCTGTCAACCTTGCCAGATTTTCATTAAGATGCTAAAATTGGGGGAGTAGGGGAAAGGGGAAGCCATTTCACACAGCATAAATATCATAAAGAAATACAATCTCAATATATGCACCAGCACATTGTAGCTTCGGATTTAGATAGCACTGGAATTTTTGCTCAAGAGGTGATTCAAAAAAAGTGAAGAATTTCATTCATAAAATAAGTCAACCAAGTGGATTCTCTTTATGGGGAAGAGTGACATAGGTAACCCACAAGGCCATTCAACTATGAATAGATATTTAAAACCTAGATGTGTTGAACTGTTAACAGCAGACAACTAGTACTTATCTGCACTGTCAGGTTGCCCTATCATAAGTATGGGCCATCAATTGCTTCTGGAGGACAAGATAACATTGTCCTCAGCTTGCCCCTGCCCACCATGAATGTGACTTCTGCCAGTGTTTTCTTGCTCTATGTTTGAAATAGTATTTGTTGGTTTAAGCCAACTCAAAAGTAGCTGTCCAGTTTCCCTTCTCACTAATGGAATGAAGGCACATATACCTGTCCAAGGATAATGTTTCAGAATCCAATCTGGGTCAGTCACTTGGACCAGAAATTTAGTCTTCTGAGCTTTCAGACTCATGCTAGATCCCATTCTTAGGGAACTTCTCTCTAGCAGAGTGTTTCCTTTCTGATTTTAATTTTCTTCGAAACAAACATCTGTACTTTGGATCTGTCCCTCATCTCAGTTTCTCAGTTCGCCTCAGTAAAGACTGCTGCAGCTTCTACTACTGGCTTTTCCTAGTAGCACAGTTATAAAACACTTGGTTGACATGCAGAACTGCTCTCATTTGAAATCCAGCAGAAACCTTTTTATTATATTTTTTTCTGTTTCTCTGAACTACCATATCCACTTTTCTCCTGGGATTTTTTGTGTTTATTTACTTGGATATTGGGGGTGGGGGGTGGAGGGGGTGGAGGGGGCTGTATTTGTTTTTTTCATAAGTCCACCTATGTAGTAGTTTATCCTTTTTCCTTCCACCTCAAAAAGGTTCATCTCTGCTCTCAAACAGTCCAAATAAATAAATAAAACCCATCTACCTCAACTGACTGGAAAAATGATTGAACAGTACACCAAAGCAGGAATCTCCAACCTTGGCAACTTTAAGACTTGTAGACTTCAACTCCCACAACTGCTGCTGGCTGGGGAATTCTGAGTTAAAATCCACACGTCTTAAAGTTGCCAAGGTTGTAGATTTCTGCACCAGAGGACCTGTTTAAAAAGCAGTACAGGTAGTCTTTGTTTACCAACTGACTGTGACTATTCAAAGCTATGAGGTGCTTAATTAAAAAAAAACTTTACAGCCAATCACAACTTTCCAAAGTCACATGATGACCCTTCATGTTCTTTGTAATCAGCTTGCAAAGACAGAAATAAAATCATAAGCCATGGTTATGTGATTTTCTGCTAAACAACTGTAACATTTAATGACTGAGTTGCTGGACTCAGTTATGATCACTGTAAAGAGCTATCTGTAAAGTGGGTAGTTTAATAGGTAGTTCAGGGAAAAACAATATTTTTTAAAAAATCCATTCATGAAATTCTACCAGCCATGAAAATATAATCACTAAACGCTAATGCTATGGCAGACCTTATTGAGGCACAGCTAGGAAAAGAAAATCGTACTTTAAAGTTGGCTGCTGTGCCTGCATTTAGGTGCATTTTGATACTTTACCTTTATATGTATATTTTTAATGTAACTTTGCATACATTTGGTGGTGCATACACTTTTATACATTTATGTATGTCCCCAAGAGGAAAGTGAGAAGCAATTGTTTTCCTGGTATGGAAAACTGTGGGAGCACAGCATGAGGAAAACCTCACTATGAGGACCAGAATTGCTGCAAGTCTGGGCTGAACATCTAGCAACTTGTTGCCAAAATGTCCCCATCAGACAGAAGTTTCCTCAACTGCTGTAGAATCCGGTGACCATCAATCCAGGTGGACATCAGGTGCTCTTCTGGGAAAAAGTTTCATCTCTCTAGCTACCATTCACCTGTATGCATTCAACACAGCTTATTTTGCCTTTTTTCTATTCTTAACTTCATAATATTTCTACCTCCATTTCCATTGGGTTAGATACAAGGGAATTGGGGATATCTTATAGCTTTAATAGCTGTACAGAAATAAAATATTGGCAGGCGTAGCTTGTTAAGTTACATTGTCCTTTGCATCTTGTACTGATTTCTGGCCATTGATATAAAATTCCAGGCCTAACAGCGCATGTATCAGTACTGTTTATAGCCTAAGTGAGCAAAACTGCTCATGGGAGTTATTTAGAAAGCCAAGTGGAAAGGCTCATGCAAAAATAGCTCTATTAGCTTTGTTTCAATGGTTGAGAAATGGCTTTCACAATGGGTCTCCCAATCTTTATCACTCTAATTGATCATTTTTGCTACTTCACTGTAAAACAAAAGCAGAGTGCTCCCAAATTATTTTACTCCTGTGACAAAAGAAGTTAACAATTGATTTTTATCAGCCTTTACACCAATAGCTTAAAGTTAAGTGCCTCTAAATCATTTTAATACTGCTTGAACAATACTTGAGAAATAAACTTGAATTTGAAAATGGTACGTACTTTGTTAGTAGCATTTGGAACGACTAGATCTATGAAAAGAATTGTCCCTAAAATCCCAAGCTACAATTTCTATAAAACAAATGTTCTTCCTCCCTTTCTAAAAGTATGTGTGTGCATGTGTCTGTATGTGTGCTTGGCCACTGTACAGATGCAAGCATACAGTTTAAATTAGCTCTGTCTTAAAACTTGATGGAGCTTCTGACTTCTTTAAGCAGGACTTTTATTTGTGAAGGAGGTACTTTTGCACCACATGAAAGGATTTATGTTGTTATACAAATGGTGGGCTCTCCCTAACCTTTCCTCTGCACCCTATCACATTCACCCCAGCTGATTCAGAGAGAATTTTAATCTCCTGCACCCGATTTGGAGATATGAAGGGAAGATTCAGTTGGGGAGGAGGAGGAGGATCTGTTCAATTAAGGATATCAATTCTGCTGAAATTCAGCCACAAATGCTTTGCTTAGCCTGGTTGACAAGTAAACAGCCTAGTAGACAATCTACTATCAAACATAGTTGGAACGAGTATATTGGTTTCTGCCTATCATGTAATTCTTAAAAGTCACGATGTTTATAATACATAGACTTAGTTTAATTTTTTTTAAAAAAAGTCAAGTCATAGTCCTCCTCACCAAATTAACAAAAGTAGTAACCAACTCTCTGAAAATATTTCATGATTTTCCCTTCTATTACATAAATCTTAATACTATATATTAATTAGTGTTTACATATATATATGTAAAAATATGGTATTCAGCTTTGTTCGGGTATTTTCCCACGTCATTATAGTTGTGCTTTTAAAGTTGTAGCAACGTTTCAGCAGAAGCTCATCTGCCATCCTCAGGCTTCTGTATTGTGTTCTCAGGTTGCACTGCTTGCACTGGAACGAAGCCGAAAGCACCAGCCTGAGGATGCCGAGTGGGACCCGAACACACCTAGACCTACATATATATACATATACATATACATATACATAACACACACACACACACACACACACACACACACACACACACACGTACGTACGTATGTATGTATGTATGTATGTATGTATGTATGTATATGTATAATTATAATTATTACAGCAATAATTTCCAAAAACCTTACAGCAAAACCTGAAGTATCATTAAATAGTCAATCACCTAGACTTGGGATTGCTCACCAATTGCTCTTCAGGCTGCAAATAATTGAAACTTTCACTATGGCTGATGCATCTGAAGAATTTAAAATGTTAAGTCCAAAAAAGGCAAAGCAATTTTGCAAGTGGTCAATTGCCACCACTTTTCTGGTCATTTTACTCTGCATTTTAATTACTCAGAAACCTTTTAACTTGCATAGTGATTACTGCATGATCATTTTAAAAAAATATTTTTTAATACTACTACTGTACAGGCACCAGCCAGTTTTAAAGTAAGCCGTGGTACTTTCTTTAGGCAAAACGCAGGGTGGTTTTCTACAGCAGCTAATTATGCAAGAAGCCCGTGTTTAAGGCTCTAGAGAGTAATCTATGCCAAGAATTTCAAGGTGCAATGCTGATTTCACTTTACACTTAATTTCCTAGGATGCTTTTTTGCATTCAGACTTACTGCAATTTTGGCCTTGATGTTAGCCAGCTTTTCCTGGGCATTAGCAAGCTCAGCATTGGCTTTGTTGAGAGCCTGACGCTTGGGCTCGACATCACAGTATACATTGTAAAAGCGCACGATGTTGATGACCCAGGAACAGAGCCCAGCAGCTGCATAGGACTTGGATGCCACCAGTTCTGGGTTGAAAGTTGTATCCTGAAGATAAGGTTGCAAGGCTCGGAGGCTGTTCTCATGTATATTCTCTTTGTTGAAGTGAATCAAGGAGTCTAGGAAGCTGTCAACCTTGGCCATGGCCACCTTAGCTGCTTTCCAGCTCCTGTCCTTGGGGACCTTACCACCCGAACCCATGAGTACCATCACGGCAGCAGTAACATTGCTGACAGCAGATGGTGGCGATCCAAATGACTTCAGTTCCGTCAGATTGGTCTGAAAGGGGAGAAGAAAAAGACCAAGCCTGTGAGATGAAAATGAATCGGTTTTCTTTTTTACTTTTCTGGTAATGGGAGTAACCTCTAGAGCTATTAATCAGAGAGAGAAGCTTTGAAGCCTGGGATGGCACTCTGAATTTTAAATATTATGACTCATGCTTTGTAAAGCAATGAATCCCTCTAGTGGCTTGGGGCCATTAACTGCTTGTTAAGTGTGAGAACCAATCACATTTCTTTGGCTTTTCAGCCAAATTGCAGGACACGGAAAAAGCCCAATTAGATTTCAGATTTACATGATATGGAAAAATAAGCATAACCAGGAAAAGATCAGCCTGGCCTGAAATATACAATGTATGTCTGCAGCTGTGGAAGGAGTTTAAACATGGACCTTAACTGAACATTTTCAGAAAAATGTCTGCCTCATGAATCTTTAGCCAGCATCAGTTAAAGTGATTTGGGTCATGAAGCACCATTATGGTACCCTGTGGCTGCAATCATAACGCATCAATAGCAACAAGCTACATAGTGAAGCTGCCTCATGCCTATTCCCATGTACTTTTGATAAAAACAATCTTGCTGACTGACCGGTCACTGAGTACAACTAGAACCTTTACGTGAATGTAGACATCAGAATATTACCTATGTCATACTATGACTTCTGAATCCATTTTCATACAATCAAATAGGATATTATGGACTGATGAACTCAAAAGTATCTTAGAATTTCCAAAACGGAGGAATTCCATTCTCCATGCTTGGCCAAAGCTAAAATATCACTGATTTCAGTGAGGGGCACTGAAGCTCAGTCTTTCTTGTGAAATCTATAACAATTAAATGTACTCAGACTAAGTTCTCAAGTTCTTTGTAAAGTCTTTTCTTGCTGTACTTGTGCATTTAGCTTCTTCCATTACAGAACAAATGTTTGACGTATCATGTATTCAAACACATATGTATCCCTGAAACTTTGTCAGAGCTTCATCATACAACATACTGACAAAGAAGCCATTGTAAAAACTCTAATTTTATGTCCATATCATGCAGTTGATTCCTGATTTTCATTAACTCCAGTCAAGCTATTAAAAAGAGCTTATCATTTCAATATCGGAACATGACACATATAGTGTTTCCCTAAAGCAACTAAAAAGAAACATTTAGCTGGAAATGGCTTGTGTAAGACCTCTTCTGTCACACAATGGCAAGTTCCAAAGCAGAACCCTACCCACCACCCATCATGGGACTGACAACAGCAAACTTAAGAGCATGCAGATTTTTAAAACCAATAGTATGGACCAGCTATTATGAGCAAATACTATCACATCAAACCAAGAAGAAATGCACATAATATACCTCCATTCAACAGACATAAGAAACCTGGCAGAGCAAATGTCACTCTACACAAGGATTCTTACTCTGATAATCAATGGACATTGATAAAGAACATTTGTTTGTTTTTTAAAAAAATTATGAAATCCATTAAAAAAAACCTGCTTTGGAACTGAGTGCCAGGGTAGGTTGTTAAAGAGTCTGGAAGGAAATCAAAGTCATAGAATTAGAAGAAGCCACTGAAGCATTGAAGTCCATCCTATCTCTGTGTGTTTAATTCCTATTTCTTAAGTTGAGTATATCATTTGACTCAAATTTCTTCCTGCTTTATTCAGACTATTTTACTAACTTATCAAAGTTATTATTTCTGTCTTCTGGGGTATAAGCTATCCAGCGCTACCTAATAATTATTTCTGGCACTTCTTTCATCCAAGTCATTAATAGAATTATCTACAAGAGCAAAGGACGCAGAACTGAACTTCAGTGCCTCTCGCAGAAGAACCTTTACCTGCTCTGACTACAGTTTTCAGGTTAACTGTATATCAATTTCATAGTGATTCCATCCACCCTTAACTGTTCTGTTAATCAAATGCTGAAGTTTTCAAATGGATGCATAGTACCCATGCAGCCAGCTGAAGAATATAACAATCCCCATTCTGAACTTGCTTGCTAGATTCGTTTGTCTGTTATTTTACCTTATTAATAACCTACCCCAATCCTAACAGAATCGGGGTAAGAACTGTAGACAGTCATACATATCTGAATAGTATGGATACTGCAAGATACTGATTTGTAATAATTTGGACAAGCAGGGCATGTTGTTTTCACCATGAGCCTGGAGGCTATTGCATTGATTGGTTAGGGTCAATGTCAGCATAAATTCTTTTCCCTCTTCTCACCTGGTCAGCAATTTTCAATTTAAGAACACCTGAGTGAACTTTTAACAGAGTAATAATATGAACAGTGCATTGAACAATATTTAAAATGGAAGACAATTCACCCAAGGTCCATCATTCTCAGCCAATGCTAAATATTCATGAATCTGAAGTCCCAGTATATCTACTTGGATACCATAGTGGAGAAGCTAGTTTAGGTAAATTCATTGCCCAAGAATTTGTCTAAATTATTTTAAAGAATTATGGTCAGAGCATTGGACCCAAGCTCTGATATTTCATCAACTCATATGGATTTCTGGGTGATCTTGGGTTAATCCGTTTCAGTTCTTTGTCAATAAAATGAAATAATAATGAAAAATACATTGAGATAGAAAATAATAGTATCTATCATGACAACACATGCAAACATTTAGATGTTTTTAAAAAGCAGGTTAGAGGAACAACATTTCAAGTAAAAAATGCACTGCTAGTTTAGGCTGTTGGATGCATCAACCCTCATCCATCAAATTGTTCCTTCATGGAGCAGAATAGAGGAAGGATCACTTGATGTCTAATTTCCTTCTCTATTCTGCTATTTCTCTGTATATAAAATATTTAAATGAAGAACAAACAAAAGCCATTCCTTTGGGACTATCCATGCTAATTTCCCACACTATTGTTTTCAGTGGTTCTGCAAGGTTCTGTGCCTTTTGATATATAGATAATACATACATTGCTTGCTAATCATATCTCTCTGTGTCTCTCTTTCCCTCCCTCCCTCTCATTTAATAAATAAAAAACACGTTATAGTTTTGCTAGCTGAACTGAGTGAAATCTATGCCTCCTCTGATCTGGATATAGGGATTGGCTAGAAATCAGTAGAAGTAGAAATTATCCACTGCAATTTTCCAAAACAGACAAAAGCACACAATCAAAACTGAATAAACCACTTCACAGTGTGTGAATTCAGTGCTCACCTAGAACTTTGTTGCACATTGACTTAAATCTGTGAGAAGGTAAAGCCTTCCATTCAGGTCTAGCTGCAGTGGATATTCATTTAGTTTTCAAATGGCTGTATGCTTAAAGTTACAGACATGTGTAAAGAACCATCTCTTGTACAAAACTGTAAATGAATGCCACATTGCAATATGAAAGGCTCTTTCTGTGATACAGCTGTTGCATACTGCAGCTGGTACCAAAGGTGTTGCTGCTAGCATATACACATTCATATTGTTAATCCACCTGGATGATAAATTAACAAAATCAGAAATATAGCAAACTGCTGTCTTTGTGGTCCTAACACAGATGTCACTGTTCCTTGCTAGAAAATAAATGAAAGTATTTCAGCTCCAGGTAGATTCCACCGGCAGATAAATCACCCCAACTTTTGTTTAAGAGTGACATTGCCAGAAGGATTTAGCTGAGATACATTTCAACATGTACTTGTAATAGGCCTAGATTTTCCACCCACACAACTCTATTTCAGGCAGAGGAGTAATTTAACAATGCTAGTCAAATGGTTTTCACTGTGGGACTTCCCATATTCACCAGACATGTTAGATGTAGAGCTTCACAGAATTACTGATCTAAGCCCAGGATCTTAGAGACTGCTGCCATTGCTTGATTCATTTCACTTTGTCTACGTCTGAAGGTAGTAGGATTTGGAGCATCCTCTACAACCCCTTTCATCCCCCAGTCAATTAGAAAATACTAGGAAGCCCATGAAGGCAGCAGGCTTCCCTCACCTTTGGACTTGGAGGTAGCATTGATAGCTTTATCTACCACAAATGTGTCCATCCTGCTTTAAAACCTCTAGAGCAGGGGTGTCGAACTTGTGTAATAACAGCGTCATCACAACATAGCACAACTTTTTTTTTTTAAACAAGTTTTATTGATTTTTCAAGACAAACAAAACATAACACATCGAAGTATAAAACCTCCTTTCCAAGAACTACCCATAAACTTCAACAAGACAAACAAAGCATTATTCTTTAAAACATGGTTCCACATTATCACACTTAAAGCAAAATATTGGAGAAAAAAAAAAACCTCCTTAGTTATCATTTATACATATCTTTTCCCAATTTCTCTCCCTTTAATTTCATTTCTCCAAGATTTTATTAATTTAGAATCAAACATAGATAATCCACACACTAAACATAAAAAACTTCTTTTGAAAAGTGACTTGGCCCCAGGTTACATCTTTTTTGACAGACCTAAATCAAATTCATGCCCACCTTATATACCCTTCATATCTTATTAACCATTTTGTATTTTCTATATAACTTCTCCCATCTTTTCACTCTCTTAATTATATTTTATTTATTTCATCTTATTTCAAAGTCATTATACTTATGTCTTTTGTCCGTTCTTTACCAAACATCTATGTATCTCTTCCCTTTAACAAAAAATTTCCCCTGTAATCGCTTTTGAAGTATGACGCCTTCTCCTAAAATAAAACTTAAAATAATACATAATTTCCATTCTGATTCTGCTTAGTACCTTCTACATATTAAATCTTAAAATGAAAGAATAACAAACTTATAGTATAATTAAATATATAATTTCTATTCTAATTCTAATTCTAATAAGTACATTGTTTTAGAATAGAAAAAATAAAATACTAAAGTTATAATAATATTAAAACACTAACAAATTAAACTTTAACTAAGCATTAATCATTTAACAAGTCTCCTAATATTTAATCAAATATCAACATCCATCATTATTAAACATTAATATTTCATTAAATAATCCAATAAACTGTTCCAAATACAAATACTACAATACTATCTTATGC